GTGAAATGAATTAGATTTGAAGATATAGCATTTGCATCTTATTAAAGTGCCCTGGGTTGATTATTTTCAAATCTAATATCAAAAAAATCTTTCCACATTTAATGGTCTCTCCATTGCAATAGAAAGACCCCTAGAAATATTTTATATGCATATTTGTTTTAAAAAGTTCTCGTTTTTTTTTTACTAGTAGGAGTAAATAAGAAAATTAACAATTATTTGCACTTGTAAAACTGTACCATATCACATAATCTTTAGGACTGTCCAAGTTCTTCATCATATAGAAACTTTGAAAATAGACTATTTTGAAATAAATGAGCCCCCAACTAGGGCATACAAATCTTTATAGACAAATTTTGCTTCAGCAAGCTTTAAAACAGTTTTTTTATTTTGTGGTGACACATCTGAACTTTGTAAATAAGTGATAGACAGGCACATAAACTGCAGCCAATCTGCATGGATGGAGGCTCCTTTCTAGGTAGGTAGGTATGGTGATCACCATCATGAAATGAAGAGAAACATGAAGCAGAATCTAAGAATTTTTAAGATGGTTGACTTTAATTTAAGATAAGTTGGTCTTGCCAACTGGTAGTTTTTTTTCTAATTTATCAAAGTTATGATGTCAAATCTAAAATGTTCACATTTATCTTATAAAGTTCACTCGCTATGTATCAGATTTAATTATGAGTGAGGAAATCTTTGCATTTATGGTATGTGTAGAACTCTCTCACTGAGAATATTTCAGTTGGTTTTGAAAGACTAATATTTTCCTTTGTAATTTTGATCAGGACTGAATATACCTGCAAATGAATAGACTGAATTCTCTACGTGGGTCATAAAGCATGCACACACACAGAGAATGTTTGTGCATCTTCAGCAAGTATGTTTAAGTGCAGGCGCAAATTTTTTTTTTTTTTTGAATTGGAGTCTCACTCTGTCGCCCAGACTGGATGCAGTGGCCGCTCCCGGCCACCGCAGCCTCGACCTGCTGGGCTCCGGCGATCCTTCTGCCTCAGCCTTCCAAGTAGCTGGAACTATAGGTGCACGCTACCACGCCCAGCTCATTTTGAATTATTGTAGAGACGAGGTCTCGCCAAGTTGCCCGGGCAGGTCTCGAACCCAAGCTCAGGCCATCCACTCACCTCAGCCTCCCAAAGCACAGGCTTACAGGCTGAGCCACCAAACCTGGCTGAAGGCGCGAATTTAAAGCAAGTACTTTCCCAGTGTTTGAACTGTTTCCTCATAGATTTCCATCTTTAGGATTTTGAAGTCACAGTTAAAATGTGTACAGGATTTATCTTTCCCAGGGAGTGTACATTGTACCACCCAACTACGAGTTTGGCACACATTCCTTCAGTCTTCTCCCATCCCTATGGCTTTGCTTTAACTGTTCCCTTTTCCTAGAATGCCATCTCCCACGTTTGAATGTCACAATCTCCCTGTCCAAGGGTGGACAGCTTTGAGACCAACGAAAAATCACTAGGCTGGAAAAGTGAATGGTTAAATCCAAATTCTTCAGTCTTCTGGTTAGTATACTTCCTACCTTCCTCCATTTGGCACATGGGACAATGTCTCAACTGTCCTATGTATAAAAAGGGCATCTTGTATTTCCTTTTGCGATGTGGGCTAATTGACAGAATATATTTAAAAGATTGACATTTTCACACCCTTTCCTGGCCTTCCCCATGCCACCTTCTCCACAAAAATTTCTCTGGGTTTCACCCCTTCCTGCCAACCACCCCAGCTGATGAGGGCTTCATCTCCCTTCGAATTCCATCACATTTCACCTGTCCCTCGAGAACTTCACTGACTATTCTCGGCATGGTGTTATTCACACACTTGACAGATATTTTTTAATGCCTTCTGTGTGCCAGCCTTATGTACACACACATGTATTTTTCTCTAGCCAGTCCTTAAGCTTCTTGAGGTCAGAGTCTTTGCGATATTCGTCGTCCCTCCTTCCTCTCCATTGTCGAGTAGTGCTTGGCACCAGTGGATGCACAAGAATGTACTTGTTACTCGCTGGCAAAACTGGCTGCTATATAATGCAGGAAATATCTGTATATCCATTTTCAAATGTGTTTGCATCCTCCAACAGTATCACCCCTTGAGAATTGTGCTCATATTTCTGATCATGTAGGATCACCCTCATCCTCATGACTAAATAATTGTAATAATGACAATAATAAGGTAATAGTCAACATTCCTGAGAATGTACACAAAGAATGTTCTGCTCTCATTCCCACATGAGTCCTGGGAGCCCAAATTTAAGCAGGTTTTCAAAGAACTATAGTTTATAAATAAAGACTCTCTCGTATATACAATACCATGGCTAGATGAAACTCTAAGGTTTCAAGGGAAATTACGCAATTTCAAAATGAGGCTGTGTGTATACAACACCAAGCCATCCAAATGAAAACTTGAGCAAATCACTTAGGAATGTGGTCTTTGCTAGTGCAGATATTTCAAGTCGTTTTGGGAAATATGTAATGTGGTTCTGACACTATTTTACTACTCATGGATGAACTGTACTATTCACTTTAATTTGCTGCTCCTGATCAGTCGCAGACTAGAAACCAGAAAGCCAAATTGGTTAGAAATGTACTTAAAGTAAGAAAGACTACTGAATATAACGAGACCCCATTTCTACAAAAAAAGAAAAAAAAGAAAAAGAAAAAGAAAAAATCGGTTGGGTGTGGTGGCCCATGTCTGTGGTCCCAGCTACTTGGGAAGCTGAGGTGGGAGGATCGCTTGAGCCCAGAAGCTCAAAACTGGAGTAAGCTATGATTATGTCCAGCCTGGATGATAAAGCAAGACCTGACTAGATATGTACCAGGGTGCCAAAAAAGTATACACATTTTAAGAAGTGTTATTTATGTATTACTTTTAGTTTGCTGTAATCAGAAGTGTCTGGACGCTGATGGTAATCACTTTGAGCACCTCTTATAATTGCAAAAGTCAAACGTGACTTGTATTCATCTTTTGTAATTGGTATATATTGAGTATTACAATTTTAGTACAGTTTTTTCCTTTCTTAAAATGCATAATATATGACTAGGCTCTGATCTCAGGCTAACAGGTGTGTCCTACAAGTAGAAGTAAACATAAGTGTTTAAGTGGCTGGCTATTGAGATAGTTTGAGTGCTTTTTCCAAAATGGAGGTCTCTGTGAACTTACCACGTAACATATGCAATTTTGTTAGCGTGTCTCTTCTCTCACAGTGCAGAGCTTCCCTTGAGAAAGAAGAAGTAAGACTTTTGAAACGGGCACATGAGTTTACTGGCAGTAGGTGTCCTAATTGCTGCAAACAGTGCCAGACTCTCAGCAGAAGTCGACCCACAGGCACACTGTCCACATGCCTCAAAAGTCCGGAAGTCACAAAAGACTTTAGCTTCTGGGTTTCTTCCATGGCCGCCACTCACAACTGTGCATGGCCAGTGGCCTTTCGGTGTCATGGGGGGGAGGAGCTGGTGGCAGAGGTCGTGCACAGGTCCCAAGCGTGAAGGGACTGAGGTTGGGAATGTGCCCCTCTGCTCCAGACGTGCAACCCGTCCTTGACTGATACTGACCAGGAGCCCGGATTTGTTTCATGTTCATTATTGTTGCTGCCACAGCGATGGGTGTTAATGAATGTCTGCTGTCCCCAAGGTCCAGTCTCCATGGGGCTCCACCCAACCGTTCCTTTTCTTCTGGAATCATTCAGAACAGGGTACGTGAGTGGGTGTGGGAGGCTCGTTGCCCAAATGCTCCACTGGAAGAATGTGGTGGAGCCAGATATGCAGTGGACCGCCCCTGAGGGAAGAGTGTGCAGCCGGGAGTCCAGCACACACTGGAACGGGCTGGCCTTCCAGCTGAACTCTGGGTCTGCAGCACTGTGCCGTCCCACGTCCAAGTCAACATGCCTGTCCAGAGTAGACGTCAAAACCGGTCTGTTATCGTTTCTGATTTTTACGGAGCATCTTTGAAGAAGAAAGAATCCTTTTGGGGGGCTAATTGATCCCAGGCCTCAGAATTGGACATGGCTCTCTCTGGCCACTTCAGAAGGAAAATCTCAGTCTTTTAAATCCAGGTATCACATAATGTTTTGACTGGAGCACACACGTTTGGAACATCATAACAAGAGAGAAGGTACTTATTTGACCCCAAAAGCAAAGATAAGTTTGCCATGATAGTGAGAGCAGCATAGCAAGAGTTAATGCTATGAAATTCACAGTACTGTCTGTTGTGAACAGACCCAAGGAAACTTTTCGGATAGTTCTCAGGCAATACTAAAGAGATCGTTATGTAATCGCTTAAGACCTGAGACACATAAAAAATTTATTAGTCATCACTGAAATAACGTGCAAACAAGTTCTTCTTAGAAAGATCCAAAACACTTTATGCTTTAGGTCTGCAGAGCCATAAAACAGTGCCTGACAAATTTTAAGTGATATTCTAATTAATCATTGGATTTTTATAGTTTCTTGAAAGCTGTAAGTTAGATATTAACAAGGCAGGGTGAGAGGAAATCCCCTTGTACTGAGCATGAGTCCTAAGTCCTTTGCACAAGCCCACTGGGTCAGCCAAGCCAGACTTTTATATTAAGCAGCTGCTGGAAACGTAATGGACTATTATTCTGAAGAGTATCGTTATTTTTATAGTGATTAAAGTGGGATGTAAAATGTGCACAACGTCCACAAATGGATGGAAAATTATTCCAGCTGTCCTTCTGTCTCATGCAAGAACATTTCTAGATTGCGTCTTTGGTGAAACTAGCACGTTGTCATACCCTAATAATACAACAGTCTTTGATAGCATCCTATATTCAGACTACAAAAAAATGTGACTGAAAACTTTTATGTATAAAGGTTTTTGATTTATGTTTTTCAGTTGGATGCAATGATGGTATAAACAATCTCTTTCCAAGAATAAATCAAATTTTTAAGAAAATGGCTATCACATCATTACTTCAACTATCTTTTCTAAACACCACAAACATTTCTTCAGTAAACACTTTCACCTACCTCATAAAATAAGGGGGCACCACCGCCTACAGGTTTTTTTCCCTTTTTAGATGAAGCACTTCCAACAAGTGTATTTATTTCATTGACCTGTAAGAAAATTAAATTTGCTTATAATGAAAAAGAAGGAATGCTTAGATATAACTATCAAATATCTAGGTGGCTGGAGGCGTTGGGGAACCTAGCAAGAAGCAGCACCTATCAATTAGGTCAAATATTTACTGACACTTTGATAAGTTGTACTTGTATGGGTATGTGTCATCTGACAGATTTTTTTTCTTCTCTCTCTTTCTCTTTGTCAGAATCTCACTCCATCGTCCAGGCTGCCGTGCAGCGGCACAATCATGGCTCACTGCAGTCTTGACCTTCTGGGCTCAGGAGAGATTCTTCAGTCTCAGCATCGCAAGTAACTGATGCCACTACATCTGGCCAATTTATTGATTTTTTGTAAAGATGAGGTCTTGCTATGTTGCCTGGGCTGGTCTTGCACTCCTGGGCTCAGGCCTCCCTAAATGCTGGGATTACAGGTGTGAGCCACTGTGTCCAGCAAGATATTTTCTGTATTCTCATCCCCTTCTGAACTCTGACAGCTATAATTTTCTGTAGCTTTTATTTTCCAGTTAGTCGTGTGCTTCCCTGGAATCTTAAATAGTCTAGTCTATTATTATTTAAATTTTTATTAAATAATTCCTCATAGAACCTAGCACGGTGCTTGGCATGACCTCAGAAACCTTGGACAAATAAATGATTGTTGAATGGACAACATTAATGAACACAAATGAATTCTTTCAAATTAAACAATTCAAATTTATATGGCAGCTTCTAATCTACCAAACTTTATAAAACAGCCTAAGAATATGACAGTTGTGTTTCTTTTGTAACTTAATTCTATTATTTTAAGTTAAAAAAAAATCCCAAGGGGCTTTGAGGTGGGAAGTGACAGCTACCTGCTGGAGAATGTCTTGCCATGACACCAAACTGAAGAGTTTACGCTGAGGCACCTGGACAGCGAGGGTGAGGGCTTGAATGAGAAGCTCATCTTCAATCTGGTTTCCAACCACAAAGGCGACAGAGGCCTTCCAATCGTTCTATTACAAAATCAGAAGGAATTAGGTTTTAAATATTTCTGACTAGGTATTTTTGTGTCAAAGTCTTCCACTGGAAAACAAGGTAATTTTCCTATAAACCTTACCTTAAAGTTAGGGTGGACTTTACAGTGTATGTGGGTTTCTGATGGAAGTGGCCGCGAGGCGGCAGTATTGTGCCAAATTTCATGCAACGTGCCCCAAAGACAATTTTTCTTGAGAAACCCAGCCTTTTATTTTGAGGAAAACAATTTTTAAAAATGACACTTTCGCTAGAATGCTGTCCAGTAATAATCTGGTGTTGGAAAGCAATGCTTCGTTCCAATGACACAAATATACATTAAGGTGTAGTCTCAAAAGCAGGAATCTGTCTTGTTCCCTGACACAGTGTAAGGCTCCAAATAGTGCTAGGAATATCAAAGGAGCCGACAAGATGTTTGTGAAATGTTGGGTCACACGGGACCCAACATGTTGCCGAGTGAGAACCGGATCTCATCTTTTCCTCCAACTGGATGTCACACAAGAAGCTCATTGCTCGCCACAAATGGGTCCCTTCCACTCCCAAGAAGTAGGCAAAAATCTTACACCTGGGCATGGAATTCTGTATCAAACAACTAAAAAGAAAATAAGTTACTAAAGACAGTAATGGCATTCAGTAATCGTTTTCTCTTATATTTTCTGCTGGGAGACGAAGGGTGGCGCTCACTGGATGACCCACTGTGTGGTGCCGTGGGAAGAGGCCCTCGTGCAGATCAGGACTCGTGCTTTTGAGCACTAATGGTCTTGGGGGCGTTGGAGCAAGAGAACTCAGTCAAGACATGAGGAAAGAGAGAAGTAACAAGGGAGGCCACCAAAGCCATGTGGTCTCTCTGGGCTTTAATTTCCCCATCTACAAAATAAAAGGCTGGATGGAGCAATACCTAAGTTCCCCTCTCGCTCCTTCCTAGAGATCTGATTCAAATGCAGTTAAATTCACTCTTAGTGGGTAACAAACGATATCTGAGAAGATTACAAATTTAAAGAAAGTCACACAAATTTAAAGAAATGCGCAATTGTATGTGGTTTCTCTGGTTTCTGCCCAGCTGATAATTAAATTGATGACAGAACTAGGGTATAGGAGGCAGACGAGACCTTACTGCCCATTCTTTCTTACCATGAAATAGCAACTGTCCTTGCATCCTTATTACCTTCCACAAAAATCTGCTACCTACCTAAGAAGACCCATTCGGATTTTCAGTGCTATCATCAAAACAAAAAAAACACATGTAAAAGCATAAAAAAATATACTTACAAACTGTGTGTGTGCATGTATGCAGGTAGATATGACTTCAAAACATTTGTTTTGTCTGTTAATTCACCATGGGAAGACTAAGTATCTGCTTTTTAAACTTTCTGATCATAAAAAATCGGTATAATATTTGTCACGTATTCTTTAGGAAGAAAAAAAAAATCTACGATCACAAAATGACCTCTCTTGCATTTGATGCCTTTCTTTTCTCTTGGTGACTCCCTCAGTCAAATCTGCCACTGTAGTAACCATTAAAGAGTGAAAATCTTTTTCATTCTCACAACAAAGTGCACATGATTCCTGGACAGGCAACGCGTTGAAGTTCCTGGCAGTTGCACCTACCAACACTGAATTTTTTTGTTTTAATTTTTAATTTTAAATCAATATTTTTTATTATGATATTGGGGGTACAGTAAACGGTTAGGTATACAAATATGCTCCATCCAGGCACCCTTGTTGATAAGAGGTATTTCCCCATCCCCAGACAGATATCTACTACCATTAATCCCATCTCCCTCCTCCCCCCATAGTTTCCCACCACTGTCAGTCATTTTCTTATATCATTACATCGGATGTTCAAGGTCCACTATATGAGTGAGAACATGTGATACTCACATCTTTGTTTCTGTGAGAAATCACTCAGTATTATAGACTCTAGTTCCATCCAGGTTGCTGCGAAATTCATGATTTTGTTCTTTTTTATGGCTGCGTAGTATTCCATCGTGTACATGTATCACAGTTTTTTAATCCAGTCCTCTTTTGATGGACAGCATGGTTGATTCCAGGTTCTTGCTATTGCGAACAATGCTGTGATAAACATACATGTGCAGATATATTTTTTATAGAGTGATTTGAGTTCTTCAGGGTATATTCCCAGTAGGGGGATTGCGGGGTCATATGGGAGGTCGATATATAGAGCTTTTAGGAATTGCCATACTGTTTTCCACAGAGGTTGTACTAATTTACACTCCCACCAACAGTGTAGAAGTGTTCCCTTTTCGCCACACCCTCTCCAGCAACTGTTATCTTTTGAGTTATTGATAATTGCCATTCTGACTGGAGTTAGGTGGTATCTCAGTGTGGTTTTGACTTGCATCTCCCTGATGATTAGTGAGGTTGAACATTTCTTCATGTGTCTGATGGCTGCTTGGATGTCTTCCTTTGAGAAGTGTCTGTTCATATCTTTTGCCCATTCTATAACGGGGCTGTTTTTTTCTTTTCTGCACGTTTGAGTTCCTTGTAGATCCAAGATGTTAAGCCTGTGTCGGACCTGGAGTTGGCAAATACTTTTTCCCAGTCTGTGGGCTGTCTCCCTGCTCTCTTGATGGTTTCTTTGGCTTTGCAGAAGCTTGTCAGTTTAATGAGGTCCCGTTTGTCTATCTTATCTCTTATGGCCTGTGGGTTTCGGGTTTTGTTCAGGAATTGGATGCCAGTTCCAATTTCCATGAGGGTATGTCCTTCATTTTCTAAGGTTCTTATGGTTTGAGATTTTACATTTAGGACTCTGATCCATTTAGAGTTAATTTTTGTGCATGGGGATAGATAGGGGTCCTGTTTCAATCTTCTGCATGTGGTCAGCCAGTTTTCCCAGCACTGAATAGGTTCTCCTCTCCCCAGTGGTAGGTGGTGGAGGCTTTGTCGAAGATGAGTTGGTTGAGAAATTGAGGTTTTGCTTCTGGACTCTCAATTCTATTCCATTGATCTATATGCCTATTCCTGTACCAATACCAAGCTGTTTTGATTATTGTAGCTTTATAGTAAAGTTTGAAGTCTGGTAATGTGATACCACCTGCTTTGTTTTTTTTTTTTTTTTTGCTGAGGATTGTTCTGCCTATTCTTGGTCGTTTGTGTTTCCATATGAATTCCTGCATTGTTTTTTCTAGGTCTGAGAAGAATGTTGCTGGTAATTTGATGGGTATTGCATTAAATCTGTAGATTGCCTTAGGTAAGATGGACATCTTCACAATGTTGATTCTTCCAATCCATGAGCATGGGATATTTTTCCACTTGTTTGTGTCATTTTTGAATTCTTTGAGCAGTGTTTTGTAGTTTTCATTGTAAAGGTCTTTCACATCTCTGGTTAGGAAGATGCCAAGGTATTTCATTTTTTTTGGTGGCTATTGTGAATGGGATTGTGCTTTTTATTTGGGTTTCTGTTTGTTTATTATTGGTGTAAAGAAATGCAATTGTCTTTTGCATATTTGTTTTATATCCTGAGACTTTGCCAAAGTCCTTTATCAGTGTAAGGAAGTTTTTGACAGATTCTCTTGAGTTTTCAAGGTACACAATCATGTCATCTGCAAAGAGAGATAGCTTGACTTCCTCTTTTCCTATTTGAATTCCCCTGTTTGCCTTCTCTTCTCTGATTGCTGTAGCCAGGACTTCCAATACTATATTGAACAGGAGGGGTGAGAGTGGGCATCCTTGTCTTGTTCCAGTTTTCAGGGGAAATGATTCCAGTTTTTGTCCATTTAGTAGTATGCTGGCTGTAGTTTTCTCGTAGATGGCTTTTACTATTTTGAGATATGTTCCTTGTATGCCTAGCTGTTCGAGGGTTTTTATCAAGAAGGGGTGCTGGATTTTATTAAAAACTTTCTGTGCATCTAATGATATAATCATGTGGTTTAATATAATCATGTGGTTTTTGTTTTGACATCTGTTGATGTATTTAATTACATTTATGGTTTTATGAATGTTGAACCTGTCTTGCATTCCAAGGATGAAGCCTACTTGGTCATGATGGATGATTTTTGAGATGTGTTGTTGAATCCGGTTTGCTAGGATCTTGTTGAGAATTTTAGCATCTATGCTCATCAAAGATATTGGCCTGTAGTTCTCTTTCTTTGTTGGGTCTTTACCTGGCTTGGTTATCAGTGTGATGTTAGCTCGTAAATGATTTGGGGAGAGTTTTGTCTTTCTCAATCACCTGGAATACCTTCAGTATGATTGGTATCAGCTCCTCCTTAATTCTGCCTCATAGAATTCTGCTGGAAAGCCATCTGGTCCAGGCCTTTCCTTTTTGTAGGTAGTTTTCTTATTACATAGTCAATTTCCTTGATTGCTATTGGTCTATTTAGGGTCTCAATTTCTTCTTGTTTCAACCTAGGCAGGTTGTGTGATGACAGAAAGTCCTCCATTTCCAAAAGGTTTTCAAGTTTGTTTTCATACAAGTGTACATAGTAATCTCTAATGATCTTTTGTATTTCTTCAGAATCAGATGTGTCTTCATCTTTTGTGTTTCTGATTATGTTTATTTGGGCTTTTTCTCTTTTTCTTGGTCAGTCTAGCTAGGGGACCATTGATCTTGTTTATCCTTTCGAAGAACCAGCTTTTTGTTTCATTGATTTTTTGTATTATCTTTTTGTTTTCTATGTCTTGGATTTGGGCTTTTATTTTGGTGATCTGGATTCTTCTGCTGAGATTAGGGTTTTTGTCATCTTGTTTTTCCAGCTTTTTTAGGTGGCTTGTTAGGCTGTTAATTTGTGATCCTTTCATTTTCTTCATGTGCATTTGTAGGGATATAAAGTCCCCCCTTACTATAGCTTTCATGGTGTCCCAGAGATTTTGGTAAGATGTCTCTTCATTTTCATTTGTTTCCAGGTATCTTTTAATCTCTGTTTTGATTTCATCATTGACCCAGGAGTTGTTTAGCATCATGCTGTTTAGTGTCCATGTCTTTGTGGGTTTTGGGGGGACCTTGTTGGTGTTAATGATTATTTTTATTCCACTGTGGTCCGAGAAGGTGCATGGTAAAATTTTGGTCCTTTTAAATTTGCTTATGCTTGATTTATGGCCAAGTATGTGGTCAATCTTAGAGTACATTCCATGCGGTGATGAGTAGAATGTGTATTCTGTGGTCTTTGGATGGACGGTTCTGTAGGTATCAATTAAGTCCATTTGAT